AAATCTTTTCATCACATAGGTAGTTAGACCAAGAAAAAAAATTAACTATCACAACTGAATTTAAGATCAAGAAAAATATATCTGACATATATGGAAAGAAGAATACCAACCGGTCTTCAACCGCTGTAGCCCCAAGCAAGATAAGCCCATGTTCTATCTGTTCATATGCCTCTGCCAATTTTTTTTCGCGATCCTGAAGGGCTATTTTTGCCTCTTGAAGCTGTTTTTCCACAATCTCATACTCTTCGTGTGTGAATTTTTTATATGCAATGCATAATGTTCGCAAACCCTCCTAAAAACAATTGTTATAGAAGCACAAAAAATATTTATTGGAAAGGTTGCATACTTTACTAATGAGCTCTAGTCTACACGAAGTCTAAGGCACAAATTATTGTGGTTTGGCTTACATATAATGCTAAACCACAAACATACCACATATAACTGTAGCATCAGGAAGATGAAGCTTTTAGGGCTGACATCCTCCAAAACAATGCCTGAGGATCCCACAAGGTAAAATAAGATTAAAATGGTGACAATCATATGATACCTTCACATCTTAGGAAAGAACATTCAAATGATGCATAATTACATCACTTCTTATGTGAGATCTTTGGGTTAGATCATTCAACTCTTTGGTTCTATACACAGGTAGATGCAGGGAGCAGGAAAAGACCAAGAGAATGTATGACAGAACTTGCTTCATGATATCATGAACTGAATATCACAACTTACTGTATATACTTCTGTTAGACAGAAGGATAAAAAAATGCAAATAAAGAGAGGTGGGATTTGCATTATGGTATTACCATATGATATTGGTGGAATCTTTTTTTTAAGTTTTTATTATGTACAAAGGAAAAAAAAAGATTAAAAACATTGAACATGGTAAATCGTCTTTGACTGACATCTCCGTCTTGTCAGTCCATATTGTACATTAATTACATATAATATATCTATATACAACTATACATTTCTGGTCTCTGTCTTAACTTATATCTTTACTGTGACCTCCATTTTTTTCCCCGCCATCTATAAAGATGGAATCTTGATTTGCTGTGGACTTCAATGTGTTCCATTTGGGATAAATTACATTTCTTTCTGTCTGATAGACACACAATATAAATTATACTTAATAGAATTTGGATCTTACCACAGCATTTCGCTCAACTCTTGACTTGATCTGTTCTATTTTTCCTTCTGTAACTCTAGGAAATATAGAAGAATCTGCTCCTTTGCAAAACAGAAAGATTTCCCCTGAAAATATAGAAACAAAACAAAATGAGAAAAGTTTGTTAGATATACAGTAACATATCTGGGAAGAGTAAGTGAAGTGAACTTGATGAAAATAGGCAAGAACTATTACGTAGGCAAAAGGGGCTGACAACATTTTTTAAATCCTGAGAGGGAAGATAGTATTCAGAAATAGCTCAGGCAGATATCCCTGATTCATGAGAGTATAAAAAGGGGCAGAGAGGGGAGGTACAGCAGAATCAGACAGGCAAGATTCTATTTTTCTAACCAATCTCAATAAAGATAGTTCTAGCTTTCCCACGGAGTTGATTTTCTGGTCTGGTATTTTGGGTTTGACAGTATCTTTCTTCCCCTGGTCTAAACAGATTTCTGAAATATGAATAGACATTCTTTAAAATAGTTATAATATATTAAAATAAGGAAGTTAGGCACATGCATTGGCTCAGGATGCTGCATTCTAAGCCCTCTCTTTGCTTCAGAGTCATGTGATCTATCTACAGTAGTGCTTTCCTAAGCAGATCTTTCTCTTGCCATCTTTCCCCCAACAAATTTGGTCCTGTTCTTATCTGAAAATTATCTTTCTGACATACAGGCAGAGTTCCAATTTTTTAAAGCTTGTTTAATAGCATCCTATTGGGCTGGAAAGAATAAAAGGTCCTTCAATGTGAAATTGTAAAGTTTCTCTTGATTACCTTTTGCTGATTTTACAATCACACTCATCCGTCTTCTTACTGAATCAAAACTAAGAACTTCTAATAGTTCAAATCTGAAGGAAACAAAATAACATTTTGCAATCAATTACATTTGCATGTATACATTCTTAGCTTTAGAAGAATAGGGACGCCATGCTCTTATGTTTCTTATGATGGAAAAATAATGTCCCATTTAAACCCCATATTCTGACTCAAAATTCACTTACAGAGTTCTAAGTCTTTCCAAAATAGCTTAAAGAATCAATTAAGCAGAATATTTTTGACAAGTAATTTTATAATGACATTAAGTGTGTTTTAAATAACTATATACAGGAAGTATTCTATTGATTACCCTTGTTTCATATTAAAAACAACTTACCTTTCAATGTCATTTTCTCGATTTAGAATTTCCATAAAATTGTCTTTCAATCGTAAATATGTATAACCAAGTCTAAAAATTCAATTAGAGATATAACAGGAATTAAAATGATTATATTTCATGTTTACAATAGAGTTTGATGTATGTTAAAAAATACCTTTTTAAAATAATTTTCAGGTCAGAAAAATGTGATTCACTCAGGTTGGTTAAGGATTCCTTTATCCTGTTTTCTATTTCAAGGATTAGAGAATAGCTAATTTACCTAAGCTGTTGATGCTTATCTGTAATCAAATCAAGTTTTTTTATTTTGCTTTTACCAAGACATTAGATGCATTCAGATGCTGGAATTAGTGACAACTGTAGAGTATTATTTAGGCAGGAGGTGCATGGAAGTTATCACTTTTAGTTTTCTTCTCCTTACCAGTGAGAGTAGCTGAACAAAGCCAAATAACTTCATCTCTAGTTCCTTAGCATTATATGCTTTGGCTTGTTTTTTCTCTAACAAGTCCAAAGAATCCAAAGGTTCCAAGTGTACTTACTTGCTCATATTGGTTGAAGATGCAAGTAGAAATACCTAAATGGTGTATACTGTATGCCAACTACCTTCAGAGTTTTTACTTTCATCACATTTGGACATTGCATTTCTGGCTCTCAGTTATATTCTTGTCCATATTTATAGTAAATATGCCGAATGTAACTCCATGGTAAACACTTATGAGATAACAATATCCAACGTTCCATTTTCTATCTTTCCCCTATGTGGGGAGTGAACAGTAATTTTAAAAAGATGGGAGTGCAGATATTCCCATATATAGACTAGCTTAGCCAGTTTCATGTTCTCTTTCAAGTAGGTCTTAAGAGAAGATTTTTACCATTTTTATTGTTGTGCTTTACCCTAGATTGTAATAAAGGTTTTTATTTTTGATAACCTCTAAACCAGACATGTTCACACAAATTACAATAATGGGGCTTTAAAAACAGAAAAAAACATTTATTTTTCAGCAGAAATTAAGATAAACCTAGAGCTGTTTTACAGTCTTTATGTCCAAAGTAACATCTCATATCCACAATGTATTATATGACATTGTGGATATAAAAGAGCCAAGGTTGCCTACCCCTGCACTAGGCCTACTTTTGTTTTCTTAATATCTGTATTTTTCTCAGTGAATCACAGACATATTTTCAAAGATAACATTTTCTCCTGTGCTCATACTATGAAAGGAAACAGGCATTTGATCTTACATAGTTTTTGAGACAATTATACTAATTTGTACATACCTCTGAATCCCTTCAACTAAAGCAACTTCGTCAGGGGATGATGAAATAT